ACATGCTCTCTTCTTTCTAATTTTCATTTTTCTAGTACTTATACACAAGACCCTGACTTCAGGTCAAGCCCAACTTTTTGTTTCAAAATCAGATGTTTCATAAAATTTTTATTAAACCACAGGTGCTTGTAGCTGTACCAGCAGGAACAACCTAATGCAAAACCATTCCTCAGGCTTTAAATGTTTTTGGAGATTAATGTTCAGTAAATTATGGAATTTATCAGCAAAAACATATATTGTTTGTGCTCGGATATCGGAATTTTAACAATCTGCCTGCCTTCTTATGCTACATATAGAGTTTTTGCATATCGTGAGGCATAACTAGGTACCATCTAACTTACGAGTGTAATTCTAGTCTTTTTTTTATTATCTAGGAATTGAGTTCACTGGCATAAGCGTTGTGTTTTGCATGCACAAATTTTTTATGGTACAATTTTATGTTTTCATACATTTTTTGCCTTCTTATAGATCATTAAAAATTTCTAAGTAATGGACTTGGCTTAATTGCTAGTCATTCACTTTTTCCTTGCACTAAAGATCTGTCTGATTTTCAGTAGTTGCTGATTGTAAAGAGAGAACATAAATTAAATGAACAAGCAGGAGCAGTGAAAGAATAAGCAGATTAATATATCATTATTTATTGGAAATTTGGAATTTTCCATCTCAGCTGTGAAGCTCATATTTCAGGCTTTACTACAGACTAGGGTACATATATGTGAAGTCTTTCCACTAGCCAGGACTCCAATAGTTTATTTAGTTGCTTGAATTAAATAGAGCATTTTTTTGCTAGCTACTTGAAGAATAATTTCTTGGTAAATTTTAAAAGTTTTATGATGTTTTATTGCAGGAACATAGCTCAGCTTGCAAAAGTGAAAATCATGAAGAAACATGGTCAGTGGCAGGAGCTCCACTTACCTCATAGGTAATTTGGTAATGACTTAGCTGTGATGAGGTTGCTGGCCCTAGACCATTGTTGCATCTGTGCATGCAAACAAAGATAAGTCAAAATTAAGGGCAACTTCTTGCAGTTAACATATGTAGATGATGAATAGAAATGTCAATAATAAAAGGTATGATTGGCAAGATACATGTCACACTGGGCCTCACCTCTTGCTTTGCTAATATTTCTTCTAATATTTTATAAGTTTTTATGATATTGTGGAATAAGGAATTAAAATCAGATGAAAAAAAAAAAATCAATAAATTGATTGAATGTGTGAACACCTGAGTTCCTTTTTGCTCTAAAAGTAGGTCTTAAAGAGTATGAGTTACCAGTTTTGAATCTATAAAATTTTTGGTGCTAAACAGTGCAGCTATAAAGAAAGCTTTACTGAAATAGACGAGCTATGGGCGGGTTTAGGCTAAAGTTTTGAATCTAAAAAATTTTTGGTGCTAAACAGTGCAGCTATAAAGAAAGCTTCACTGATATAGATGAGCCATGGGCGGGTTTAGGCTGATGCTTTCATCTCTAGTTTGTAGTTTATTTATTCACACTGAATAGGTCGTGTTTTTCAAGGAAAACTTTATTTTCAGAATTTATGAAACATTTGACATTATATTGATATCTTCAATAAAAATCCTTAGGAATGAACTAAAATATTGTCATAAATGTTTACTGTATGTCCACAACCTCTGAAATCTGGTGTGTGATTCTTGTGGTTTGTGGAAAACCAAGAATGTGTTTTCTTTTCCTTCTATCAGTTTCAACTTAATGCTACTGTTACTTGTTAATTAGGTAGTTCATGAATTGTCAAAGTGGACATATGTTTCACAGAACTATTTCAACAGAAACCTCCAGCTGCTAGTTTGATTTCTTCTACTTAATTCGTAATATAGTACTCTAATGCTGGACCCCAGAGTTTCTCTAATATCTTTCCATTTCTTCTTTTTACATGAACAGCATCAGGTCAATTGTCTGTCTAAACTTACCCAGCTTTTCTGGTGGTCTGAATCCGTGGGGAACTCCAAATAGCAACAAAATACGTGATGTTAGTTTCTCTTCATTATCTGGTTTTGACATGTAGTCCGTAGGTCAATTGAGAAATAACAATTATTTACACGCTATTTGTTTTCTCTCACATGAATCTCATTAAATGCCCTTATTTTCCCAACTTGCAGAGAGACTTGACTCCGCCTTTTGTAGATGATGGCCTTATTGAAGTTGTTGGTTTTAGAGATGCTTGGCACGGGCTTATTTTGCTTGCTCCAAAAGGACATGGTACTCGTCTTGCACAGGTAGATAAAATTAATAACAATTTATATTCTTTAAAATTCTCTTTTTATTTATAGAAAATCATGTGATTTATTAATAAATCAATTTTAAAAAGATAAATCTTCAAAAAAATATTTCACATATAGTATGTATAAGCTAAACTTACAGCATATAAAAGATGTGCCCAAGAAGAAGCTAGACGTTTTAGTAGAAGAGAAGACTGGAGATTGCTAAAGTAATTGCCGTGGGCCCAAATTATCCCAAGGACAGTTGGAGTCACATTCAGCCTCCTGACCATGGCTAGGGAGAAAAAGGAAGATTGTTAGAGCAATCCCCATAGAGCCAATGGCAGAGCTACTGAAATAGAAAGATTACCATTATGAGCATTCTAAGCCACTAAGTAATCTCATTTACCAAGCTAGATTCTGGGGAAGTCCTACTGTAGAGAAGATGCACTGGAGTCTCAGGAACCACCAAGGCCATGGCCAAATTATCCCAAGGAGAGTTGGAGTCTCCTTCAACCTCCCAACCATGGCTAAGGAGAAGAAGCAAGATTGGGAAGAGGGGATTAGGGATGGCAAAGGGAGTCTCTAAAATTTGTCTTAAATTCAAGGTTTTGAACTTTTCCTCCAATTTGAAAAAAAAAAAAAAAAAACCTTTTCCTGCTATTTTCCTGAAAATCATATACGTGGTATAAATTTAGCATGACAATCTAGCAACTAATTCATTTAAATATCATGTAATAATGTCAATACTTCTCTAAAGCAGCAGATGATTTTCTCATCAGTGTTCGGTAGTTGTAATTTGTAAATGACTTAAACACTTATTCAATTCAAAGTATTACCATTTTCCTTATTGTGGTTTCTCTTTTCCATTAGGCACACCGAATCCGCTTTGAGTTCCACAAAGGTGCAGCTGACCATACATACATGAGGATTGATGGAGAACCCTGGAAGCAGCCATTGCCAATCGATGATGATACTGTTATGGTTGAAATTTCACACCATGGCCAAGTCAACATGCTTGCGACTCATGATTGCAGATCGAAGAGTTTACATCATGATCCCTCATTACCTAGCCATCACAGTGAGGAAGATGATAGCGATGAAGAAGATTCTACGCAAGATCCCGAGTATATGAAGTTTGGTGCAGCAGACACATTCAAGATTCCAGATGAGATCGATATCTCTCATCTTAGTTGAACATCTAATATTATTGACCACATTTCATAATAAGGCCATATTATTTACCATATTTGTTGGAGTTCCAATATTATTGACTATCATAATAAGTCCGTATTCATTATTAGCTACTCTCATCAATACTCACTGATCTTATGTCGAGGCTATTGGTTCCACTTTCCTTTTCTCTTTTGCTGTTAATCTTTAGGATAAGTGATGTTTAAAAATTATTTGGTCAAATGTATAAACTCTTTTGTTAGACCTGTTTGGGAACGTGTATTTGGTAGAGTATGTTTAAATTTGGAGGTTCTAGCTTCTAAGGTTCCAAATTGAATGTCGTTTTTGTTCATTGAAAAACTCAATATCGTTTGGATTTTAAATACTAGTGCTGCGTAGTGGTCACTTTTATTGCTGAAATTTGTTACTCGATACCTATGGAAATTTGGTTTTTGAATGAATTTGTTCCTATGATTTTTATGCCTTGAAATGTTCCTAGCTGCAACCAGGCAAAAAATTGCTTGAAAATTTCCATGGATGATTTTGTATCTCCATTCCTCTAAACATACTGAAATCATTGTGCAGCAGCGTAATAACTATAGTGTTGTCCCTAGCAGGTATTTCAAGTACTTGAAACTTCGAAACTCTAAA